GTCACTCGTCCTGCCATGTCAGTCAGCCAAAACTGAGCTGAAGCCGAAGGCGCGGACGCAAGCGAAGCAAAGCGCATCGATCCAACTGCGCAGGCATGTAAACTCGGTTGCGAAATCTGCTCCCCTGCTAACAGTGAATAACTTTTAGTGGTTTAATACAGAAAACCCATTAGTTGGCAAGAAGTTAAAGTCCTAACATCCAAGCAACATGCACCAAAGCAAACTTTTAGTGGGATAAATGGAAACACTCAAAGGCAGAAAAGCTAAGGAACCGGATGGCTGGGAGCCACCAAGTTTATGCTTACGGATTGATTACAGCCGCCCAAAACCATGACAAACATCGCAGATTGTGACAGCTGGCTGAATAACTTGGATTTGTTGATGACTTCTGGCGGACCTCATTGCCACACACGCACACACACTTACGCAGCTTTCCTAGCTCGGGCGAAGCAGTGTGCGATGTCGCAAGACTTCCACTTTGTCGAGCTGGGGCCGCCGCAGTCTCCGGAGCGCACCCAAGACAGTCCGCCCGCACATGGAGCTTGCGCTGGGCGCAGCTCTTCGGGATCTTCGAGAGGCCGTCGGCGCATCATCCGGTTGGGCGCCTCCACTTGCACTTCTTGCCCGAAACGGATACCAAGCCTCACTCGAAGCCGCCGGTCGAGAGCTTGGACCGCGTCGCCCAGGCTTGGACCGCGTCGCCCAGGCCATGGCTCCATTTGTTTTATTTTGTTTTCTTCGGTCAAAATGTTTCGTGTTCACATGTTACCCTTCTTTTTTTGCAGAGACTGATCTCTGGTCATTGCTGCGCAGGTGCAGGCATTCGACGCAGTGGACCCCCGGGATGCTGCGGGGTACCAGTCCACTCTCATCACCGACGGGGCTCGCCTTTATCCTGGCTTGGCCCAGAAGCACGGACTCCTGATCTACCAGTGCTCCCGCGCCACTGGCCTGTTCGCGTACAAGGTTCGCAGGGGCCGACGCCCGGCCTTGAAGCAGAACATTCCCTACCGCTTGGCATCCAAGAGTAAGCAGACCTGCTGCTCCTCACACATTTGAAACTCATTTGTGAAGCCAAGCTTGAAACACATTGCGAATGTTTTTCACTACATGTTGCTGGTCAGGCTGTTTGAATCCCATGATCAAGCTTGAGACACATTTTTTTTTTTCTCTACATGTTGTTGCTGAGGCTGTTTGAACCCCACGATCAAGGAGTATGCTCTTCAGTGGCAGTGGCGCTATGTCTGCCGCGGGCATGATCTCTTCCTCTCTTCAGGTGAGGTGACGCGCGCGCGCTTGGGCGAGCCAGAAGCTGAAAAAAAGGGCGGCGGGAATCATTCCGTACGGTGTATTATGTTTCCTTGTTCCTCCGAACATAGCACCATACTGCAGCAGGGTACCCATGGGCTAAAGAGCTGGACATCCAAGCAACATGCACCAAACTAAACACTCCGGACTCTGGTGGATTCTCGGACTTGCATCTCCGCTTCTCTGATTTCCGGCGATACGGCGATGCCATTTCCACGAGCCAACAAATCCAAAGTCGAAGGGCCAAAAGTGGGAAGAGTTCCGCGGGTTCAATCTGCTTTCATCCAAACTCGCAAAAGCCAAGCCAACAAATTGACATAAATTGACCAAGTGGCCTTTATCATGTTTCCCTTGCGCCCAGTTTGGCTGCCCTTCAAAGCCAGAGGAAACGGAGCCAAAGGCGGTCCCATGTACTGAGCTCTTCGAATCGGAACCTCAGCAAGAAAATGCGAACGGCAACTCAAGAGGCATACGCCTCAATATACCTTCATCTTTCCATATCTTTCCCTTTTCTCTCAGCTCACATTCCCTGCAATGCTGCACGGGCTCCTTTTTCCGGCCACCTGCAAAACTGGAGTCATGCTGCCATCCTTGCAAGGCAGCCCACAGGGCAGCAAGGCAGCCCACAGAATGTCTCGTGGGGCTCATACTCTAACAAGTCCCCCCGTCCGTTTGTCTCGGCCGAGCCGGTGTTCAGCGCCGCGCTCTCTTAGCCGTTGAGCATGTTTGTCTGAGAAGGCTGCCTCGGCAACTTTGCGGCGTGATCTGTGGGGTGCCACACGAACTTAAGAGCGGGACAGTTGCGTTGCTTCCGAGTTCATAAACCCATAAAAGCATGAGTAAGAACAAGGCCTCGAGCGGAACGGGCTCTCCGGAGTGCATTTCGAGACTGATGCCTTCAGGTTTCCAACAGCTGCCATCTGGGCACACGAGCCACAAGCCAAAAACGAGCTTGGATACGTCTATGGGTGTGCGTGTGTGCATCTAGCATGAACTAATAGGTTTTCCTTCCGGAACCTTGAAACTTTTGCACCCGTGAAGAACTAACAGAGCATGATTAACATTGGTCGACTTGCTTCGCCAGGCGGCTCACGGTCCCATTTTACGAGCCCTGCAACTTCTGCAAACGACTTAAAAGCAAGGTTCCCCCTCTTGGGAGTCCAACCGGCCCCGGGTTTTGCCTTGGGCTCCCGAAATTACTCTCTTAAACCTCACCCCTCCTAGAAAGACCTCAGTCCAACATGACCCAACAGGTGATATGAAAACCGTCCGAGGCTTGCGCCATCCTTGCGGCAAAACATGCCCCGCCCTCGTCGAACCTTCCCCGCCCGACTCGGGGATCCCGGCTTCACCAGAGCTGCGCTTGCCTCACGGATCCCAGGAGGCTTCGTCAGGGTCTGCTTCCAGTTTCCAAAATGGCTGTGGGTCAAAAGCAATGGTACCATTTTGGGGTAGGTGAATTCACCACCCATTTTAGAACCTGTTTTAGTGGGGATTGCGGTGTTCATTGGGGGTACGGGCTTTTGACCCATGACCAAATCTGGCTTGGGGGGGATTCAAGGGAAAGGAACCACACACCATCATTTCCTACTTCAGGATGCACCCATGTGATTCCAGTACCTGTTTATAATCAACAGGGTTTCAAGTCCAAATATGAGAATGGCTGGCGGACATACTGGGGTTCAAAACCATGTCCCCATCTCACTATTTACATACGACACCCATGTCCAAAAGGGGACATCGATTCCTCGCTTTTTGGACACAAACGTGTATCACGTGTATGAAAGCCAACCCAGGGCTCTCTGTGCAAGGATCCTCCAGGAGTATGCGCTTCCCGTGAAGATCGACGAGTGGCCCATATCTATTTGATCCCCTGCGATCCCGCGCCATAGTTTTTTTTTTTTTTGAAAACATGGAATATGAAACCATCTTGCAATGCCCGGGCCCTCGCTGGTTTCCAATGATGAAGCAAACACATGGCCTTTCAGCCAAAGCCGCGATGAGATCTGTCCCACGGCCTATGAGTGCCATTCAAAAGATCGTCTTCAAGGCAGAGACGGTCGACACGTTGTTGATTCTGACTGGCCGGTGATCTGAAACAAGGATTTCGTGCCTCGGCAGGGGTTCGCAAGCACTTCCAAGAGCTTCTGGATGTCCTACTTTGTGGTTGCTATGTGGCTGGTTTGCTATATACCGTAGATACTGTAGCATCATTCTAGCCTGCTGAGTGTACTGGCCAGAACAAGTTCGCACTCTTTGGGCCCGGACTGAATCGATGCACAGCTGTTCGTCAGGCAATGATCATTGAATCCACTGGCTGGGTGAGCCCAGTTGAAATGCTAGGTCCTGCAGTAGAGAGGTTAGAATAAGGATACCCTTTGTTCTGTGGTCTATTTTAGTAGGGAAAAGTCTCCCCCCCAAAAAAAGGGGGAGAGAAGGGCCATCTAGCTGGACCAAAAGGCATCGTTCCGAGGCCCCCGGCAGACTCCGGGACCAGCTGCCCAGCAGCTGCTGGATCCGGGCCTTGTCAGCATCATGCACAGAACGCATTTTGTTTCTTTCGCCGAAGGGAGCCGGATCCCACTAGAGATGTGAAGGAAGTGAATTGAGCGCTTTGCTTCAATGAGGCCCTCAACTTCACATATATATTTTTCCAGCAGCTTCAGTCGCCCTTCCAAACAGAAGGCACTGGGAGGCTGCCTGGGAGACCCTCTTTGCCACGAGAGTCAGAGGGATGGTAAAAGCCAAGAGCTCTTGCCGTAACATCTGGATGCGGTATGAGAATAATCAACCCAAATAAGGGTAAACCCAAGGAAGCTTCATCCTGGGAAGTGTCGGTCCGTTTCTTAGTTTCAATCTGGTGCCAGCACCAAATCCTTTCTCGAAGACGACTAGTCTGGCCTCTGAACCCCATTTTTTTTTGAAAAGGGGACCTTGATGCACCCTCCTCCCCCAGTTTTGCAGCACCAAGTATAGCCAAACCAAACAACGCCGTGCCGCTCGCTGGTGCTTTTTGTGCAAACTCACTGCCCATTTGGTCCACCCAAAAACGGGATCAACGAAACGGGCTGCCCACCCGGCTAGGCTTCATGGAATCTCCCGTTTGCTTGCTTTGCTCGTTGTGGTAAAACAGGTTTTAAACAGGCAAGCCCCTTGTCAGCTCCTCAAAGCCAGCCGTGAAGTGCGAAAGCCAGCCGCATCCACCTTGGAATCAAACCCAAAAAACACCACCTGGCTTGCGACAGAAGCCTCAGCCAGGGCGGGAAGTGGACTCCACTTCTGTGACAACAAACAAAAACGGGCCTCCCGAAGACAAACCGCTCATATAAAGAGGGGATTCCCAGAAGTATCACAGAGGTTTGATGAACTTCGCGTGATCCCACCTCCCTGGATCCCCTTTGGCGCCTCTAGCCTCTGCTGGCGCGACGCCGCCTTGCAGCTACGCAGCGCCTGGAGGTCAGGGGCTCAAGTTGGGAAAAGCGTCCTGAAAGGCGCCGAAAGAAAAAACGGTTGGAAAAAGCAGCTGCGACAAATTGTGGAGGCCAGGGGCTACAAACCTTGGAGCCCTGATGCGGTTATGACGACCAGGGGTGTGAATAAGTCTGTTCTTCGGCTTTTCAAGGGCAGTTGAGAACGCACCAGAGCTTTCACAGGGTTGATGGACCTCAGGTCTTCTTTAAAGCTCCCAGGGCTCAACGGAGCGGTCTGCTTTTGTCGACCGCTTCCTTTGAGCCAATCGCCTGCCACTGCAGCAAACGGCTCACTAGGTGCGACACCACGGTCACCTCGCGCCCGCAAAACGCTGGGGAAAAACGCCCCCCCGTTTTGACTGGATCTCGGAATTTCGGGCGGGGAAGACCCACAAAACAGAGAAAAAATGGCAAAAATTGAGGGCATGGGTTAAGTTGACTTAACAGGGATAGACAGAAACATCCACCTCAGATTTTGGTCAAAGGAAAAAATGGGGCATCGGCCCTTGACCCACATACAGAAAATCATAGCCATGGGTCAAAGGCCCGTACCCCCAGTGAACATCCCAATCCCGTCTAAAATCAAATAAAATGGGTGGTGCACCTACCCCAAAATGGTACCAAAACGGTTTTGACCCCCAGCCATATCAGATCGTGGTCGGTTGAATTCAGTTTGGAGACCCCTCCAAGCCGACTCAGCCGAGTCGCGTTGATGGAGTTCCCCAGCAGCCGCCACTGCGTGCGCAGCGGAAGCTCGCCAGGAAGCTGCCAGCCCGCGGGGAAACCCATGAGACCGGCCACCTCTTTGGGTGAGAAGTAGCGGACCTGCTGCCACTGAGACGGCTCCAAATGCCTTGGTTGCTGTTGGCCTCCCTGCAAAAACAGGGATCCTTACATTATACACCTGAACATTGCATTGCAAATGGCGATTTCCCTGTATTTTGCTGAACAAAAACATGTTTCAATTGGGCAAAATGTATCTTTTAAGGAGCCCTGCAAAAAGTTGACAACTTTTTGGGGGCTTAGCGGGAAAAACCCAACTTGATTTCCGGAAAAGTTAAAGCCTAAAGATCCAACCCAATAGCAGTCAAGATGCTGAAACCGGGGTTGAGCCGCCGAAGCCTGGTGGATCACATGGCTGTGGGTCAAAACCAATGGTACCCCTGGTGAACATCAAAATTGCAAATGGATGTTCATCCACCCCAAAATGCAGCCATAGGTTCTGCCCCTATGGCCGCATCGCCCAAAGAAAAACATTGCGACAGGGGAACCTTTTGCAGGGCCTGGACGGTGCTTCCAAGAAAGGAGCGGACCCCTGCTCGCCCGGTGCCTGTTTGCAAGGTGTGGGCAGGTTTTCCACCACGGGACACGAGCAAACAAAAAATCGAGATCTACAAATGTAATCAGCCCGCATGGGTTGTGGCGTAAGTGGTTCCGAGCTTTCTTCAACCTTGCCTGCATCAGCAAGGGCCCCGTCACGCTTAGTCCGGTCCCACCGTAGTCTGGCTTCCCATAGGCGGCGGTAAAGGTCTTTGTCGCCAGAGACGTGTTGTCCGCGAGGTCCAGGGTGTAGTTTTTGGCGTAGGCTTGCTCGAGGAGCTGCTTTGGTACCTGGTGGGGTTCGAGATTTGGTCTTGCCACCCTCAAAAACCGGATTCCAGCAAGAGTCTAATTGCGGTTCGTCTGCAAACAGGGGATCAGGGGACCTCCCCGCCAATGGTAGGCATGGTGCTGGTTTCCAGTTAAAGCCATCGACCAAACCAGTGCAAAAAGAAAGACACTCGACTTTTTCTCAGACCTCTAGCGGCGAAGGCAAGAAAAAGCCACTCTTTCTTATTGGTAGTTGATTTGCCACCCCTCCCCCGCCCAAAAAAAGAAGGGAGAGGAAACCACGGCATCTTTCTGAAGGTACGATGATTTTTTTTGTTGGGATGATTTTTGGAAGGTGTTTCCCCTCCTGCAGTGCTTCCTCTTCCACCTCCGCGCACAAAAAGCTGCCCACAGGGCGCAGTGCAGCGTCCGACTGGAGCTCGGGGAGCTCCGCTGCCTCGTTGCCAGCCTCACTCGACCGAGGCCACCGCTTGAGGCGGGGGTTTTTGGGTCGCTGGACTCAGGCGCTTGGTAGGGAAGCGGCCCCCAAAGTGAGAAACTGAGAGTTGCCGAAAAAGGACCCAGAAGTACAAGGTGAATTCACTGGACAACCTTTTGGGGCCGTGGCTGAAAGCGGACCAACATGGGAAAACCTTTGGACAACTGAACCTTGAAGACAGGCAACATCAGAACCACAGAATCTAGAAGGCTACAACCTGAGGCGCTCAAGTCTACATGCTCACAACTGGTTGAAAGGAAAGCATCTGGTGCAAACTGAGCGACCACGGCGATCACATAGAACCGGGTCCTAGTGTTTGGAAATCCAAAGTCCACGGGGCTCAACATGTGATCCTCGGTGGCGTATCCAAGCTTCCTCAGGCTCGAGATCAGGCGGTCCTGATTTGCCCACAGGACCCGGACATGAAAGGCTCAGCTTTTAGGACCTCTAGGTCCTACAGTAGAGAGGTTAGAATAAAGGTACCAACTTTTTTCAGTAGTCTATTTTCGGGGACCTAGTCTACTAAAAAATTAGGCCAAAAAGGGAAAACGTCAAAAAGTCAAAAGGTTGATCCGCTTTGAACTGAAGGTCATATGCCCGGGAGTGTTGGAATTCCGGGACGTTCTCCAAGAGCAGGGCTTTCGGAGGCTCAGCAAGCGCCGGCAGTGCTTCGAGCAAGCGAATCAGCGCCCGGCACCGCGGATCCGCAAGATCTCGCCTCTTGCCGCTGCGGGTGAAGGGCTGACACGGCGGGCTCATCAGCCACAGATCGCCCCCTTCGAAGGCCGCGTCCGGCAGTCTGTCGATGGAGCAGCGCCACAGCTCGTCGCGAGCTCTGGCGCTCGAGCGCCACAACTCGCCTCTTTGCACCCCTGTCACATATTTGGAGCCGTAGAGCTCACAATACGCCTTGCAGCAAGTCTCATCCACTTCGAAGCAGCGCCAACTTGGCAACTCCGATTTCCCCACCGCCTCTTGGTAAGCTAGCCGCATACCGCCCACGCCACCGAAAAACTCATAGACGCTCTTCAGTGCACGACGTAAGTGGGCTCTTCGTGCGGCGCTTCTTGAGGCTCCGTGCCTGAAACCTCTCGCGACGCAAAGAGTCCCGGCCACAAGGCAATTCCGCCTCGAGCACCTCGAGCGAATGTCCCCAGTCCTCAACCCTGAGTCCTTGAACCCGCGTTCTGCATGTGAGATGAGGAAATTATGCGGCACGGAACCCCATGCAGAATTTAGCATGGGGTTTTCTCCATGGCTCGCGCTACAAAGGAAGCACCAACAAACATATGCAGCCCTTGCTTCGGCGACAGACTGTTCAAATCGAGGGGAGACTTGCAGCCTGTCGAACCACCCACACACACACACACACACAGAAACTCTTGTCTCTTTTGTTGTGTGACGTCAGCTTGGTACAGTCTATCGAACGCTCAAGTCTGCAGAGCCCTGTGTTGCGGAAACTTGGCGATAGCATTTCCATACCCCGCTGAACCAAAGTCTAATCTGCATCTTTTGCGGAATGAGAGTACATCAACACGAAAGAAGGCAAGGCTTTGACAAGGCTGAATGAAAAGCAACTGTGAGAGCATGTGCAGCGTCGCAAGCTATGCTTGTGTCATTCCCCAACTCTGTGGCTGGGATGTAGACTTGCTTCCTTTTATTGCTCCGACATAGCTTGGATCATGAAGCTTTTCGTGCTCCGACAACGCATTCGACGGGCTAAGCAACTAAGCAACTAAGCAAGACTTGTCAGCATGGTTGTGGAAACAAATATATATTTTGATGTGCGAAAGTGGAGTATCCCAGTACGACTCTATCACTTCGAAAGGGAGTTGTTTTCGTCTCGCAGAAAGCAGCCTCAACCCAAAACGTTGAGGGTAATTCCCCTTTGGTTGGTGAGGGCATGGGCAACCTTTTGCTTCAACTTTGGCACACTTCTTTTTAACCTAACCCTTCTTTTGGCGGGTCCCCTTTTGACGCATCCTACAGCAGGCGTCCAACTTGAGTGCCAGAAGCTATCGCTGGACACTCGGAGGGCCTTGGTCTCCTCGCGGCGCTTTTGTTGGTTGGCCCTGGCGTCGAAACCGACGGTGTGGCCACGACCCTGGGTTGTTGAGGGCGTTGCCCCCAACATGGGCTGCGGCACTACAAAACCAATTTGGGCCATTGTCACACGTGCGCCAGAAAATATGTTCACCCTCACGTTTCCCCAAAAAGTCGTCCGACCTTCATGGATAGCTTCCTGAGCTTCCCTTCAAACTTGGTGGTCCCCGGGCTTGGCATTAAGTGAGCCTCACTCGGATATCCTCTTCGGTTGCAATGGTTCCCGGGACTACGGTAGGCCCCCAGCTATCACCACAAACGCATGTGATCTCAACAAGAGCAAGGGTACCCACCCACTGGGACATAGGGGAATCATGGGGAATCGATACATATATTTCAAGTATATATATATATATTGCATGTGCCACCTTTATCAAGTGAATTAAACATCCAAGACACATGTTGAAAAAGGGGGGCCAAGTTTACACAGCGTGAGGTCTTGATCGGGTGCATCGCGTTCGTCCGGGCAAAGGCTCTTGGTACTAACCCCCCCCCCCCCCCCCCCCCAAAGTTGGGAAGGTTGGATTTGGAACCGTCGGGCGAAACCAGGCCTTCCCCCTTACTGATAACCCCCCCAAAGTTGGGAAGGTTGGATTGGTAACCATCCCCAAAAAGGCACCTTAGGTTTTGATCCACAACCGTTTGAAGTCAGAGGTCCTAACCTCCGCGAACACGGCGCCAAAGGGAAGCCGTCACTTGCAGGTGACTTGTGGGTTCTCGAGGGCTTTCTTTTCGGGCATGGTTTTGCTAGGCACACCCCTGAGACTCCTCAAGGCAGGCGCAAAAAAGCTCGATCCGCCATCCACATCACTCTGTTTTCACACGGATCAGATGCAATCAAATGGATTTCAGCATCCGAGATCAACATCGTCATTGAGAAGAGGCTGCCAAGGCCAATAACACAGACATTCGCACATAGCAAGATCATTGGGGGATGCCTCACACTTGACATTTGCACTAAGAGTCTTAATGTATGTGTTGAATTTTAGGAATTAATAGCCATGGGCTTCTAGAGCCACAAAATAGCTTGCTACGGATGGCCAAGGAACAGACCCGAAAAAAGGGGGCAACCCCGGGTCACCTCCAGCGCTCGGAACTGAAAACCCTGCTGCCTCCGCAACTGCGAGCGCTGGAAGCTCTGCCGCCTCTCCTGGCGGAACAAAAAAGCGGAACACGGCCAGATGTGGCCATGGGTCAAAACCCGGGTAATCCGCCAGTGAACATCCCACTCCCCACTACAATAGACTGAAATGGGTGGTGCACCTACCCCAAAATAATACCATTGGTTTTGACCCACAGTCATGTCACTGGACTTTCCCGGAAAGGCTGATTCAAAGGGTTGGGAAACGGGGATCTACAGCACACCAGCTGATTTAGGGTGTCTTGGGGCCATGTCCTGTAGATTTTCCTGTAATCCAACCCTTTGATTGATCAATTGTCTGGTGTCCATTGAAACCATTGAGGGCGTACGAAATGGCCGCAGCTCACCCCTTTGCCTTTCAGCATCACTGGTTTCCCTTTTGTCTTTCATTTCCCAAAGGAACGACTGCAGAAACTTGCATGTTTACCATACATGAGCATTCCCTTTAAGGAAGTTATGGAGCCTCCTCTTGGGCAATGGATCTACACTAAGTAGAATGCACCAAACTGAATCAAGGACTCCGAATTGCTCAATACCAGAAGGTTTCTGGAACAGCACCATCTCTGACTGCTGGCAAGTGATGCCCAGCTATAAAGCATTCCTTAAGGGAGTCCAAACAAAAGGCGTCCGTCAGCCCGCAATATGTCAGGAGCCGGGGCACACAGCAAGTACTTCTTCAGGGCTCCGGTGTTTTTGTTTTTTTGGAGTCGCATATTTTGAAATCACGCCGGGGGGGGGGGTCCAGGTGTTTTTTTGGAAACCGGTTCCCTTTTTCAGCAAAACTAGTCTCAACCCATTTTCGCTGTTGCACATCTCCTTGCAATCAGGGCTGCTAACCACCTGAGCTGAGTTGACGGGCTTCCCACGCATTGACTAAAACTCACTTCCCTTCGTGGATTGGCAAACAACGTGTGAACTGTTTACCACCAGCATGATCCGAACCCAAGTTGAAAGTCCAGGAACTCTGGAGGTGCAACATGCATCCTAACACAACGCTGACAGCTTGCCAGGCAGAAGTCCCGATCCCTAGCTCGCCTCGATGCAAAATCTCGGCGAGTTGATCGACCAGGCGGATTGACAAGGGTGCTTCTCGACAAGGATCCAGGGATTCTTCAGGGTCTACATCTTCACATGGGTTCTAAGCCCCTTTGACACCCGGTGGTCAAAAATCGGGTCACCCCAAAATGGCTTGCCCTGGTAAATGGAGGGACTGAAGCCTGCGGGCCTTGAAATTCCTGGTTTCAGTCTGACCCAGACCCACACCTCCGCTCACCCGGGAAAATTCGATCCATCACCGGTGGCTTGCACCGAATCGCGGTCCAACAGTTCCAGCCGTCGCGCGGAGGCAGCCGCCGGCCGACCGGCCGCGGCCTCCAGAGACGAAGCCCCGGAAAAAAGCGCCCACCAAGCAGACATGGACCAGGGGCCGCCAAAAACAACCGATAATGTTGGCTGTTCTGTGGGTGGAGATCCGGGTGACGTTTGAGTGCTTGAAAAAAGGAAACTCGGCTGATTTGGGGGTCCCTTATTCAGTGACAACGCTTTTTTGGGAAGAAAAAACAGAAACCAAGCAAAACCAAAGTCCCTTTGGTAAAAGGAGAACCCCGATTTTGGGGTTGCTTCAAAGGCCAACCAAATTGAAAACCATCTATTAGGCTTGCATTGCTATTGAAGAAAACAAAAGCTGGGTTTACCTACCATCAGTCAGGAGGACTGGGTGAAAAGGCAAGTGGACCTAGTCCTCTAACCCGATCGCATGCCACGAAAGGTCCTTCTTCAGCCTTGCAGATATACACCTACTCCTAGTTCTGCCAAAATTCCAAGGAAGCTGCGGTCTGCTTCAACAGCCTTCCAGACTGAGCTTAGATAGCCCCTGAATATGCCAAGGACGCCCATCGGCGCTTTGGGTGACACATGCCTCTCCAACTCTCCAAATCGCAAGCTGCCAAGTCGGATGCCACTAGCAAATGATTAGAACCAAACTGAAACCGGATGAATCCATCTATGTTTGTCCATGTATCTGGTCGGTGGGTGTGTCTGCCAAGGTTTTCCGAGCGAATACCAAAGATTCACTCATTCAAGATCAGGGAACGCTCCCTGATCCCCATCACCGCGTCGTCAGTTCAAAGGGGACTCCCTTGGCATCCGGAAATTGGCGACCTAAACCACCTAAACCCAATCGTCCGCATCCAATCGTCCGCATCCGTTCTCATGCCCCGATCAATAACCGCAGGGCTTCCACTTCTATGATTCACCAAAACAAATGCTGCCTGAGTTTGAAACCTTGATTTTCGATCGCAAACCCCATTTGTATCCATTTGTGAGGCTACGAGTTCATTTGGGTGCGGTCTCTTTTGGAGTCGCTATAGCCGTCTTTTCGCTGGTTGTACGGGAAAGCCAAAAGGAAAGCCCACCATTTCGGGGTCCAACCTACAAAACGACGCACCCATTTGGCTATGGGTCAAAATCCCGTACTCCCAGTGAACATCCCAATCCCCACTAAAGTAGACTAAAATGGTACCCCAACATGGTATCATTGGTTTTGACCCACAGCCATTTGCCGAGAAAAACCGAAAACCGCGAAACCCCCGAGGCTCCGCGCCCAAACTTCCAGGAAGGCCTGCCGCGACCGATCCTTAGCGTGGGCGGGGGGGTTGGGGGGTTTGGGGGGTTGGGGGGTTGGGGCCGAACTCGGCTTGTGGGGTTGGTTGGGGCAGAAAAACAAGGGAAGTGGCAGAAAAATGAGGTG